GTGTGGATGCTGCAGTCCAGCTGTGTGGATGCTGCAGTCCAGCTGTGTGGATGCTGCAGTCCAGCTGTGGGGATGCTGCAGTCCAGCTGTGGGGATGCTGCCATCCAGCTGTGTGGGTGCTGCAGGCTGGGACTCAGCACAGACTCCTGCTCTGTTCCTTGAACCACCAGTCACTTCTGCCTGGATACTGTTCTACAGGAATATTAATGTTTCACCCAAGAAAGAAGCTGGGTATGGTGGCACCATGGTAGGTGGCACCTTGAGGTTTACACCTGCAGTGGGGACTCTGGTTCACAGGCCTCTGGGTTCCCTGTTGTTCATCTTGGCATCAGAAAAGAAACCAGCTGTGGATAGCAGAGAATGACTGAGTATGTTCGCTATCTGCCCCTGTGACGTCAGAGCTCAGAGACAGGTCTCCTCACTCAGACAGACTGAGAGAGAATGGTAGCTGTGGATGCCATTCTGAGAGGCAAGGGGACTTCTTAGACAGTGGCTCTTAGTGCCGGGACTGTCAGGAGCCCTGGACTCAGGGATAGCACGTGCCTCAGAGCCTTGCTAGCATGGGAAGCCACCTCCAACAGCTGCTAGGAAAGACACCCTGCTTGTCTCCAGCCCAGAGGCCCTGTGATATAGACTCATAACTGGGGACTCAGCCATGCCACCAGACCCCTGGACCTTTATAAACCCCAGTTTCTCCTGTGTCAGCCAGCCCAGAGACTCTGTAACCCAGGTTCCACTTTCCTTACCTCTGCTGAGGCACGCAACCGTAACCCTGACACCCGAATGCAGGCCTCAGCTGCCATCCGGTCCCTGGAATACCCTCAATGAGCATCAGACTCAAGGATCCCCTTCTAGGGGCTCCCTCTTTCCTGCTGGGCCAGCATGTCAAAGGCAGCCCAGTGGGTCGCCTCCTTCTCCCAGAACCCTCTGAAGCCGTCTCCACACCTTCCTCTGCCTTTAGTGCTTCTCCTACATGTATGCTGGCTCTTCTTTTGTAACTTAGCCACGTCTCACATCCCTACTCTAGAGGTACAACACCCCATACATGCTTCCCAAAGCATCTCAGCCTCTTTCCTCTACAGAATGTCTTCCCTTGAACCGCCGAGCTCCAGGGCACCTGGATTGGCTTCTCAGATTTGAGAGGTCTTGGCCCTGCCTGCCAGGTCTCTAGGCTTCCTCCTTCTAGGAAGGCAGCCCTGGCCCAGAGTATCCTGGCTGTCCTGACAGTGGTCACCTTGACCACTGGGGATTCAGAGTGCCATAGAATTGTTGAGAGAGTAGCTTTCATTAGGGGAAACTTGGGACTTGGTTCAGAGTCAAAGCCTGGCCTGGGCACCCACATCCTCCAGGATAGACCTCATCCTTGGGGTTCCCTGGGGAGGACACAGGACACCTCTGAGCTCCAATCTTCACTTCCAGGTGACCATTTTAGAGTCACACTGTGAGATTTTCTGGGCCAGGCCAGCACTGTGTTATATAATAGCTACTGCTTGGCCTGCGGTGGAACCACACTCCTGCCAGGGCCCTCACCAGCACCTCAGCAGATATGAGGTAAGTGGGCACATCACCCCCTAGACAATGGATAAGGAAATCATGTCTCAGAGAAGTCAGGAGTTGAGGCCACAGACTAACAGTGGCCTGGGCATCTATCACTGGGCTGTATGATTCTGGTACCCTATGCAGCTCATAGCGGGCCCTTTCCTGGGTCTTCCTGGGGCCCCTTGAGTGATTCTAGTGAGCCGTCCTAAGTGGGCTCCTATCAGCCATTTCCACATACAGGTGCTACTCATTCCCACCTAGGTCCTCGGCTGGGGACCCAGGTCAGTGTCGCACCCGACTTCCACCTCTAGGGAGAGAAGAGGCAGAGTATGGGCTCCCAGTGAGGCCCAGGAGATAGATGCCTGTGCTTTGCACAAGGCTCTTGGCTCCACATTAATTCCGAGGAAACCGAGAAGGCAGAGCTGTGTTAGCTAAGAACAAGGGAGGGCAAGATGTGGGTGTGGAGGAGGTGACTGAGCCTTTGGCTAAGCTTAGTTGGGGGATTCTGGAATTTGTCTTTCAGTGATACTGTTCCTGGCCCCTGGCACCACTCTGGGGTTATGGTTTCGCCTGGGGGAGTGGGGCACAGTGAACCCGGAGCGTGGTTCCAGGCCCCCATTTCCCACAGAGGTGCCCAGGTGTTTCCCCATTGGTAGAAATGTTACATTACCAGCTTAAAGATTTTGGAAAGCGTGCCCTGGGCGTCGTAGGCCCCCTTGAATCCCTTGTGAGCCGATTTATAGTCAGAAGCTCTGCCTCCATAGCCAAATCCTGGCTTCTGCCCCTCGGCCCCCTGCAAGAAAAGACCAGAGCTCAGTGTCTGCTCACACCTGCCACCACCGGGCCTAACCCAGGAGGACTTGAACCACCAGGTGGCGTCGGTGAGTCATCCAGGAGCCAGAGCGGCACGGAGCTCTGATGGGGAGGGGCTGGAGAAGTGCCTGTCCCCAAGTCCATCAGGGGGTGTCACTGGAGAAGAGAGGGCTCAGGGCTGGGCCAGGTGGTGCTGTGTGGGCAGAGAGGCACAAATGTCCAACTTTACAGGTAGCTGCGGAGCTCTGTCCAGGGCATCTTGGTGAGGAAAAGACAAGCATCTCTCTCAAATTCCCATCAAGGGCCTCCGCCCTCATCAGAGGAAGAATCACATCGCCAGGAGGCCCCCAAAGGTGCTGGAGTCCAGGGGCGAGGAGGGTCACCCTGTACCTGGCCCTCAAGTTCGTGTCTGCTGGTCTCACACAGCTCGGATTCTGCTCACCCGTGCTCTGCCGCCTCTGTGGCCTGGGAGGAATCATCTCTGGACTCTGTGAGATTTCCCTTTCCTACAGTAAAAGGCTGGTTTCCCAGTCTCTGGTCCAGGGCAGCCTCTCTATGGTGGCCTTGGTGAGACCTAAATTCAGGCTCCTATTTGGTACCACGGGCTGCTGGCACAGTGCAGGAAGCAAGGGGCACCTGGTAGCAGCTCCTCCCACTTTCTAGGTGGCTGACCTTGGGCAGGTGTGGGAGCCTCAGTTTCCTGCATGGTGAGGTTAGTACTGCTCTTTCATTCACAGGATGGGCAGAGTCCCAAGTGCCCACCTTTGCACTTGTATCCTTCTGGAACTGGCCACTGAGGAGGACAGGCACCCCTTCCTGCCTCCATTGGTCCACAGCCCCCTCACACTGTTGGGATGGCCACCCCCTGTGGGATGCAGCAATGGACAGTGAGGACTGGGGTAAAGTTCCTCTGGGTCCCAGCACTGGCCTATGCACACAGAAGGGTGCCTGAGGTCGGTTTGAGCGGTGACACCAGCATTCTGGGTAAGGTCTTCACCCAGCCCCAGTGTGAGGTCCTGGAGGTTGACCAGAAAGACTCCCCCTGCCTCACAGAATTCTGCCCTTGAAGCAGAATTCAAGGCTTTGCATTGGGTTTTGACAAGAGGAAACAGGAAACCAGGTGTCGCCAACCTGCTGACTGCTAACAGCTCCAGCATCAGAAGCAGCCCACAGCCTCAGCATACTAGCCTCGCTGACTCACAGAAGTACTTTAGGCAAGAAGGATCTTGAGATGCAATCCAGCTACCCGCCATCTTAGACATGCTGTGGACGGGATCAAGAAGATCCCAGGCTCTTCCAGGGAGGCTGGCTTGAGGCAGGATGGAAGCTAAGACCCAGGCCATGTGACCTAGCCTCTCCTATTCCAGCTACTTATATAATTTCCCTCTCTTTAGTCTGTATTTGGGACAGATAGCGGTCCCCTAGCTGCCAGGGGTCTGTCCAATGAGGTAAGGGAAGGGTCTTAGTGGATACTTGGGGCCAGCCAGAGACACTCATGTATCCTGGAAGCATCTTGGACACATGGGTTCCTGCACACCACATGGAGGGGTTGTGGCTGTCAGGAGTGTGGCACCGAACACACAGGCAGCCAAGTGGCAGGAACACAGGCTTCTCTGGGTGAATGCTGGGTCCCTTTCTCCCAGAGTATGGCTTTTCTCCAAACCAAGAGTTTCTGCGACCTGAATTCGGCTGAACTCCCAGACTAATAATGCAGAACTTCCCAGTCACTTTTGTCTTGGAAAGCCTCGACATTGTCAGGATACATACAACAGGGATATGAGAGAACAAGAGGGAGTTTCTGAAACACCAGACAAGAAGGCCATCCTGAAGACAGACAATGAAAACCTGGAAGAACTTTGGATGAAGACAGACCCAAGGGGACATTGAGAGACCAAAGCTAGAGATGGCAGAGATACTTGCCAAGGCCTCTCCTGTTTGCTAGGGGGTCAAAGAGTCCCCCAGGGCCAGGATGAAGTGTCCTCTTCCCACGCCCTCACATCCGGTCTTTGTACGCCGCGACAACCCAGACTTAGAAAATTAAGACAGGTATGGCAGCAGCTAGAGTAAGAATTCTGGGTAAACAGAAGTCATTCTTCATATCATTTTGTCTCCTGATGGCTCAGAAAGTCAAAGACAAAAAGGGGCGGTGAGTGGGGTCTAGGTAGACGCCTACCTTACTGTCACCAGTTCTGAAGATTTGCCATGGGAGGAAACAAATCAGGTCCAATGGGCATTTACATAAAACATTGCAGCAAACGGTTCATAGTTCAGTGTGAGAAAGTGCTGGAATGTGGCAGGAGCTCCATGGAATCTGCTGTCTTTCGAGCAATCCTTCCTCTTGTACATCCCCCTCTTCTTGCTTTATCTTTGTTTTTTGAGACAGCGCAACTCTGTGGTCCCCCCTACATAGGCTCGCTTTGATCTCTTGGCAATCCTCCTGACTCCGCCTATTGAGTACTGGCATTACAGGTGTGTGCTCTGTGCTTGCTCGGCTGTCTGTCTTCTTCCTACTGCTGTTTCTATCCATCCCTCTTTCTTCTCTCCCCCTCTCTCTCCTTTCTCTGTCTCTCTCCTCCTCCTCCCCCCTTCACTCATTCTCTCGTGTGTTGATTGGCTGCCACAGATGGCCTCTGCACACACTATTCACTGAGAAACAACTTCTCACTGCCCCCTCCCCCTCTAGCTAACAGGCTGGTGTTTATGCATCTATATAGCTCTGAAAATGACAGCTATTTACAAGGAAAAAGAGCCATATCTAGTATCTGCTAGCAGCTGGGGTCAATATATTTGGTTAGGATTTATCAGTAAGCATTTTAAATTGGCATAGACATCAGGAGTCGCTAATATTTAGAAGCCAAGCCATTCAACCAATTAAAGCCTTCATTGAAACTTTGCTCTTGTGTCTAAAAAAATCTAGAGCCCCCAAAGGAATCTTTCTTGGTGGTTTATTACCTCAGTGTTAGCACTACTAACACACAAACAAAACACCAAATCCCCTGGACTGAAGGGCAGGCGGGTGCTAGAGATAAAACAACAGGGTTCAGCATCTCTTCCTTTAGATCAGTAGTATTGTTTTAAGGGGTGGCCAGAGTCGTTCTGTACTTGGTCTGTGGGGACTCAATTTTCCCATCACAGGCACTGGAGAGGAATTAGGGATTTTCTCCAGTGTGATGTGGCTCTTCCCTGGGAAGGCACTCAGAACCCTTGTGGGGAGGAGGTACAGGGCTTGCCAGTGCCTGGGGCTCAGCCTGGCAGCCATCCACACGGAAGGGTTTCGTCCCTGCCCTGAAACAGAAAACAGCCTGTCAACTGTGGTTGGCAAGCTGGGCTGGGCAGGAAAGAAAAGGCGAGTGTTAAGCAACAGAAAGAACTTAGAAGTCAGTGGATTGTGCAGGCTGCAGACAGGGAGGAAGCAGAGGAAATTCGGGCATCACCTACCCAGCTAAATCTGCTGAGGGACAGGCCTCTCCCCTGTGAGGAAGAGAAAGAAACAGTGACGAAAGAAACAGTGGCGATGTGGAGATGATCACCCCGGGCCAAGTCCTGAAACCAACAGGAGCAACCAAAATGGCATGCCTCCCGCAGCGGGAGCAGGTTCCCTCAAATACACGAGATCCAGGAGTTGGCAGGGCCATCTGCAGTTCCAAAGCCAGGGTGTGACTTCTGGCTCAGGGGACCAGTGCAGGGATGCACTGATCTTGTTAACACAGCCGGAGACCCGCCACAACTGTGTCTCACTGGGAACCTCTGGGAGCAAGATTGTGGTGGACTGATTCAGAGAGCCCTGAGCCCAGTTCCATTCGGAACACAGTTTGGATTTCAGGGTAATCATATCAATTGATTGACAATGATCAAAACGTCTATGGTCTTACCTTTCCTTGGGATGGAGGTGGTGTGCGGGGTGTCACCTGGAAGACAGAGAAGTGTGGGCAGTCCCACTCTCTCTCAGAGCGTCCCACCAGTTTATGTCTACAGACATGGGTCCAGTCTATTAGGTACCAGACACTAACACAGGCCTCTATAGTATGCCCTTTCTGGGGATGGACATGCTGCACTCACTGATACTTCCCTTCAACCTGATGCCTCATTTTAATGTGTCTGTTTTACGTGTGTGGGTTTGTCCATGTGAGTGCAGGTGCCCATGGAGGCCAGAGATGGTATCGGGGCTGGAGTTATAGGCAGTTATGAGCCACCCAACATGGATGATAGGGATTGAACTTAGATCCTTTGCAAGAGCAGTGTGCTGGCTACTTTTATGTCAACTTGACACAAGATAGAGTCATTTGGGGAAAGGGAGTCTTCAATTGAGAAAATTCCTCTGTAAAAGAAAATTTGCCTGTAAGCAAATCTGTAGTGATTTTCTTAATTAATGACTGATGTGAGAAGGTCCAGGTAATTGTGGTTGGTGCCATCCCCGGTGGAGGTGGTCCTGGGGTCCATAAGAAAGCAGGCAGAGCAAGCCAGCAAGAAGCGTTCTTTCATGGCGTCTGCTTCAGCTCCTGCCTCCACGTTCCTTTTCTGACTTCCTCCCATGATGGCGGTGATGTAGAAGTGTGAGTGAAATAAACCCTTTCTTCCTCAAGTTGCCTTGGGCCATGGTGTTTTATCACCGCAGTGAGAAATACAACTCAGGCGGGTAACATGCTCTGTTGATTACTGAGCCATCTGTCCAGCCCCTCATCATTAGTTTCTCATAAACGTTACTGTGGTGGTTTGAACGAGAGTGATCCCCCCATAGGTTCTTCTATGTGAATGCTAGGCCCCCAGTTGTTGGAACTGTTTGGGAAGGATTAGGAGATGTGGCCTTCTTGGAAGAAGTGTGTCACTGGGGTGGGCCATTCCCACTTATCATTCTATCATCTGTCTATCTATCTATCTATCTATCTATCTATCTATCTATCTATCTATCTATCTATCCATCCATCAACCATCTATTAACTATCTATCAATCATCTATCAATCTATCTATGATCTATCAATCAATCTATTATCTATTTACCAATCATCTACCTATCTATCTATCTATCTATCTATCTATCTATCTATCTATCTATCTATCTATCTATCTATCTATGTATCTATCTATCATCTATCATCATCTATCTCCTCCTCCCCACCTCTCTGCCTCATGGTTGTGTCTCAAGATGTGATCCCTCAGCCACTGTCCCACTGCCATTCCTGCCTGCCTGCTGTCATGCTCCCTGCCCTGATGGTCATTGACTCACCCTCTGACCTGTAGGTCCAAAATAAATTCTTTCTTCCGTAAGTTGCCTTGCCCATGGTATCTTATCACAATGATTGAAAAGTAACTAAGACACTTGTTTTGTGGACAAGTTTATATTTACACAGACATTCTAATGAAATCACATGTTTCCCCTACACCCACAGGGCACCCCACCCATCTACTTAGTGTCTGTTATTTAGCACCAGCATTAATGCGATTTGTTATAACTGATAAATACTGGAGCATTATTGTTATCAGCTGGATACCGGAGGGTTCACCCTATGCGGTGTGCATCCTATGTGTATAGATAAACGTCTTGTGTCCTATTTTACAATGCCACACAGAGCTGGCCTAAAACACCCTGCCTTTCTCTGCTCACCCTTCAATCCTTCTGGGCAATGCCTATTCCCATCCTTAACCCTTCTTAGGGTTACAAAGCCTATATTTTTTACTTAAGCATCAACTAGCTGTCTGGTTTCAGGAAAATTGAGTTCGTATTGGAATACATTGTTTGTTACATGGCAGATGCAGCCAAGAGTGCCCTTTGGGACTTGGAGTCCTTGTGACCAAGTTTCTACTGAGGATGGTGTCCCTCAGGCCAGCTACACCCGGAGAAGGATCCCAGGAAGCCACAGGTGAGCTAAAGACTCTCTTGGATCCAGCAACCCTTCCTTTGATGATATCTTGGTCCCCTTTATGCATGGTCACTTACAATGTTCTTGAAGAAGTGGACTACTGGGTTTTCATCTTGGGTCCGGCCATGCTGTGACTTCTGGGGCAGGGAGCCATAGTGGGTAGTTCTTGATGTGTGTGAGTCCTGAAAGAGAGAAGCGTACAGCTTAGGATGAAAAGAGCTTAGCTGGGCCATGTCTGTCCTCCTGAGGAAAGTGGGTCTCCACTGCATGCATCCTGGTGCTCCAGAAGCTGCTAGCATGTCACCAGACACCCGGGTTAGGCATGGGATTTGCTGGAGCATGCTTGGTAGCATAACCACGGCTTGCCAGGTGGATGCTCTCTATTTCTGAAGCCATCACTGGCAGAGGTCATCTGTTCATTAGCTTTGGAGTGACAGCATCATAAGCTAACCTCTGCCTCGAGTCCCCGGAATTCTGAGTCTGCTGATGTGTGAACATCACTTTCCCATCTTAAGTAAGATGGAAGTAAAGAGTAATACTTGGTGTGAGTGTGCATCTGGTCTGAGCATTCATCGTCCACGGAACCCAAAGGTTCTAGGTCAGTGGATACAGCCAGTAAGATACCCTAGCAAGCACAGAGGTAGTGATGTATCCCAAGTGAGCATGAGCTGGGAGGGGAGGCTGAGATGACGGCTTTTGCTGGACGCTGTCCTCCTGGCTGCCACTCAGAATCTGGGCTCAAGCCAGTGGACATGCACAGTACCACAGGAAGAGCCTGCATTCAAGCAGGCATCCTTGGGAAGAAGTCCATGAAGAGACTTCACAGCACTACAGTTCTCAGGGAGTTCGGCAGGAGCCTGCACATGTTTCCTCGTGTCTGCCTGCCTCTGCTGCTCGCAGCTCATGCTCAGAACCACGACTGTGCCTGGAGGAACCTCATCCAGCCATCAGCAAGTGGGAGAGCAGGAGTGATGTGTGCAGCCTGTCTGCAGAGGTCCCAGCTAAGCATCGGAGATGGCAGTCAGGTCACTAGCAGCATCCCCTCTCTCTGTTTGTGGGTTGGGGGAGCCCCCTTGAGGAGTTTGCCACTAGAGAGCCAGGAACCACTTCTTTGGAGCTTTTGAGGGTGTGGGTGATGGGTGTGGCTCCGTGGGTGATGACTAGAGTTTCACAGGATGCTGTTGGCCAATTACTCAGCATTTCTCTGAGTCTGTTATGTCATGATCCTGATTGTGATGAACTAAACAGCTCACACAGTTTCACCTTCTGTGTTGGACACCCTGAGGGCCTGGACAAATGTCTACTCCACACCCTTCATTATAGATAGCATCAGACAGAGCGCTTGTTAGTAGTTATGTGATCCTAGCTGTGGGTTTCCACACATCAAGGTTTGGTCCCTCCCTGTCACTTTGATCCTGTTCACCCACCCCACCCCCGACATCGTCGGACCTTGGACACAGTTCTTGTCCCCTCCCTCTATTGCACAGATCAAAGCTCACTGCTTCCCAGGGACCACATACCTAATCTGCTAACTCTTCAAGGTCAAACTGCCTTCCCAGCCCACCACCACCTGGCACCTTCTAAATGGCTGCTCTGTCTTCCTCTCCACACACCCCCACCCATCCTTCCCACCCAGACAGTCAGCTCACACTCTGAAAAACTCTTAAGGTCCATTCTTCTTCACTTCACCTATGTCCAGTGGCCTGCTGAGGATTCAGAACGCCATTCACTCTTCCTTAACTGCTGTGAGGGGCCTGACCTTCCCGGACTACCACACATATCCTCTGTTATCCCCTTATCTGCTGGTCCTTGGAGATGTCACAGCGGTAGATCACCAGCTTAGAGAAGCCTCTGCCTAACATGTTTTCTTTATAAGAGTTGCTGTGGTCATGGGTTTGCATCTCTTGGCAGCAATAGAAACCCTAGGTAAGACAGCTAGCCTTTGGGGCGGGACCATGCTAATCTTCTTTGTATCATTCCAGTTTTAGTGCTGCCAAAGCAAATACACAGGCACTGAACTTTTGGGAGAAAAGTAATTTAAATATTTTAAGGAGCTCAAGAGCTTTGTAGATTGTTTTAGAACTCTTAGAGCTATGGAATCTGGGGTCAGGACTGTCCATGATAAGTCAGGGAGTGGCCTGTGCAAGCATCCGCTATAGGCAACTACTGCATGGCCTGCAGAGATCTCTTTTAATGTAGGACCTAACCACGAAGCGGTCTACATGGGTCATCCACATGGCTAACACACACACTGGCTCGGACCCTGACTTGGGCTCTTGGATCTACACTGTTCCATAGATAATCGGAGGTAGCAATGTCAATATATCTGCTTTGCTATATCTGCAGATTGTTTTGAATCAAAAGATATTCAGGCAGTCATCTGTCTATAGAATAGCAGCCAACAGCTAAACACAAACCCCAAATTTAAATGCCACTAGACCAGTGGCAGAAAAGAACCTGACGAAGCAGTTGTAGCGTTTGGCCTGAGCTGTGTCACAGCAGTAGAATGCTTGCCTAGCACGTGTAAGGCCCTGGGGTCAGCCTCTGGCATCCCAGAACAAAGCACAATAGTGCCATGTAGAAAATCTTTAGGCTAGAAACTAGAAAAGCGACCCAAGAAGAGTTAGAGGAGAGGCACTCTGTATCCATGGACTGGCAGGCCCAGACAGTAGAGATGCCACATCTATCTACCTATTTAATGCAATTGGTGGTAGGATTTTGATTAGATACCGACACACTGATCTGGACCTAAACGGGAATGCAAAGGAATCAAAGGAGCTAATCCGCTGTAAAAATGTAGACGTTTCCCAAATCACATGGCTTTATTTGCAAGATTTATTACATAGCTATAGTAATCAAGCGAGGCTTCCCAGACATGACACCAAAAGCGGATTCACCGAGAAATAGTAAATTAGACCCCATCAAAGCTCAACACTGTTAACATGAAATACTCTTAGGAGCATGAACAGACAAATGGCAGACTTGGAGAAAACATTTGCAAATCACATGTGAGAAAAAAGAATTAAACACAAGGTTTTTTGTTTGTTTGTTTTTTTTAAGAAACACTAAACCTTCAAAACTCAGCAGTAAAAGTTAATTGATTAAAAACTAGACAAAACACTTCAACAAACGTTTCACCAAAGATGTGTGGAAAACAAATTAGCACACAAACACAACTGCTCACTACCAACAGCCACCAAGAACATGCAAACAGGAGCCATGAGATGCTGCTACTCACCTGTTCAGAGAGTTAAGAAAAAAATGCAGACAATACCAAGTGTTAGCTAGTACAGGGAGCAACTGGAACTCCCACGCGTTGCCATGGGAGTACAAAATAGCACAGTCACTGGGAAAAACAACTTGGTGGTTTCTTACAGCACCAACTGTGTATTTATTGGATGTCCCTGCAATCATATTGCATGCTTTGAAGGATGAAACAGAAATGCTATATTTTTGAAAGTGATTTTAAAATGAATATATTGATCACTAATCATTTGAAGGAAAACAATTTAGATCTTAAAGAACTTATATTCACTCAAAGCCTATATATGAGGGCTTATAGAACTTTTTATTTCCTGCAAACTATAAGCAGCTCAAATGTTCTTCAACAGGAGAATCTACACACTGTGGTACGCTTATTCAGTGGAATGCTAGTTAGCAGTAAAACAACGTTTTGAAACACATTATAACACCAAGGCATCTCTAAGTCGTGCTGAATGACAGAAGCCATTCAGAAAAGATTTTACATGTATCGTCTTTTTTAGGTGACAATCTTGAAAAGCCTGTCCTATGATGTGGGGACTAGAGCAGGGGTGGCTGTAGTTAGGACATTAGAGAAAGGGAGTTTTGAGTACACAAGGCAGGGGCACTGTCTTAGGCTGACTGTCTTTGTGGTAGTAGCTACACACGTTTATAAATCTGCTAAAACATATAGAGCTCTATACAAAGCAAGTCCGTTTTGCTATACGTTAGTTTAGAAAATAAAATAAGGCCATTTAACACGGATCAGGACTGCACAGCATTCGTGGAACCACCGCACTGTTCTGTGAGTTTCCCCACCAGAACCTTCGTGGGAAGGCAGCCTGAGCCTCGGCTTCCACCCTGGGGCTTTCCTCATAGGTTGCTCTTGCTTAGTTAGGTAGAATGGACCCCCTTCTACACATGCCACTGCCTCCTGACCCAGGCAGCTCTTTTTAGCTGCCAAGTATTGCCATGTTGGATTGTCTGTCCCAGCTTTCCAGGGCTGCTCATGCCTTCATCTAGGTTTTACTCTTCATAGGGAAGAAAAGAGTCAAGCCTGTGTGGTGGGCCCCAGGGTGCTAACTGTGGAACTCTCATGGTGGCTCTCGGCAGCTAGAGAGAGGGTGAAGGAGGGCAATAGCAAAACCCTCCTCCTACCACAGAGTGCAGAAAGATCTAGTCACCGGAACAGGAGGGCACTCGCCAGACCCAATGCCAGAACCCTAGGAGTCCTTGGTAAGCTGCTGGGTGGACCAGGCCCCAGCCTCCTCACATGCAGCCTGGGCCTGAAGTGCAGTTAGGAAGAGGATGGCAATTCTTTGGTGTGACAGTCACACCTTGGGACATAGCCCAACTCTAGACCTGCCTGGCTTTGCGGTGAGTACAGCAAAAGCCAAGAGGCCACCTCAGTTGCCATGGTAGCAACATTCTGGGCTGGGGCACGAGACTGCACGTGTCAGACCAGGGCTGCATCTGAGCTCGTTTTGTAAAATACGCAGGACACAAGGGTCGCATTTTAACCATGTCTGAGGACACAGCTCAGCAGCAACTGTGCATCCATCACCACCCGGCAGAATCTGTCCTAGTTCAGCCCTGATCTCTCTCCAGCCTCCAGGACCACTACCATACTTTCAGACTCCACGAAGATGGGAATATTTTCTCCCAGTCTGTAGCCTGTCTGTTCACATTCCTAACGGTGTTTCATGCAAACAGTGCTGAGCTTTGATGGGGTCTGATTTACCTATTTTCTTGATGAACCAGCTTTTTACGTCAGGTCTAGGAAACTCTTGTCTACCCCGGTCAAGAAGATTGTCTCCTATATTTTGTCTAAAATTGTAGAATTTTCTAGTGCCAGCAGAGGTTTATGATCCAGTTTCAGGTGACTTTCGTATAAGGTGAGGGTTGGGTTGATTAACGTTTGTTTTTGGTGGTGTTTGGCAGG